TCAAAGGCCTGCAAGAACCCTGCACTGCAGAGATCTCCATCCTGAGTGCCATGGGAGATGCCAGTGTCATCTCTGCTCCCCGATTTGACCTGTGTCTTCACTCTCTTCCCACGGTGCTTATAAATACACCAAGAAAGTGGGCTGGCAGGTGGCATGATTAAGGCAGCTGGACTCCCACATGGCTGACCACAGTTCAAGTCTCAGACCTGGCAGCTTGCTTTCTCACTTTCCTTCTCTCTCTCTCTCTCTCTGTCTCTGTCTCTCTCCGGTAAACTGCAAAAAAAAATTAAAAATAAAATAATGACAAGAAATAAAATTTAATAAAATAATTCTTTTAAAAAATACACCAAAAAAGTAAAAAGTGTACATTGAATTTGTTGCCATGCTATCTTTTTAATGACTCTTGGATAAATTATCTTTATTTATAAATCTTTTTCCGTACAGGGGGAAACTAAGTTTACCAAATCATTGGTACCACTTTCTCGTCCTCACTTAAAATTCTAAAGCAGATGTGTTCACCTGGATCCTTGCACCAGATGTGTCTAAAAGGGCTGCTGGGATCCATGGAACGACTAGTAATGTACACAGAAGACTATGTGTGCATGTCCCCACACGCACATTGTTCTGAGAGAAAGATTTATGTCTTTCTTCAGATCCACAGTGGATGTATAATCCCCCACATTTTAAGAACTACTGCCTCCTGGAATTTCTCCCTTCATATCTATTAGTTAGGAAATGCCAGATTGTATCATATGCCATTCCTGATGCCTTTTCTTTTCTCTTTTCTTTTTTTTTTTCAAGAGATTTTTGCCATAGAGCATGTGTGCTAGCAGGAGAGAGACAGAGACTGTGAGAAGGAAAGTGAGAAATCACCCCCAGGCAGAATGGCCATGCTACAATCCCTTTGCCACTCTCCTCCTGAGATCTTGGGCACACATGCACATGCGCCTAGCATGACTTTCAAGCCACCAAGTCCAGGACTCCAACCAGGGTCATCTCTGTGGGAGTCCAGTGACGTAACCACTGCACCAACTGCTGCCCCCACCTCTCCTGATCGCTACCAAATAAATTTAGTCACTACCTTGTTTTCTGTTATAGTTCATTGCTAGCTTCATATTTACTCTTACCTTTCTGAATTTCACACTCCCCCCCCCACCCAATTTAAGTAACAAAGGAAAGAGAGAACAAAGCATGTACTAACTTCTGTCAGTAACAGTGGTTGGTATTTTCTTCAAGTAGCACCTCATTCAATGCCACTAGAATCCTACAAGTTATTATACAGTATTCCTGTTTTTACAAATGAGAAAGCTGAAACTCAAACAGGTTATCTCCCACAGTCTATAAACAACAGAGCTCTGATTTAAATAGATGTTGGCAACTAGAATTCATTCCTTCCACAAAGCCTGTCTAGACAGGGCAGATGGCCGTAACTTATTAATAGCATCATCTTTTATAATATATAGCTCTTAGGTTTGATTATTATTTTCTATCATTAAAAACTACTTAAACCTTTGTGCATAAATTCCATACAAGTTGACAAATGCAGGAGTTGTACAGGTGTGTCGATATTCTCCTATCACCTCAGACCATCACCTGAGAACCATTTGTGCTTTCATTAGTACATTTATTTTAAATACATGTATTAAATCTCAGTATTGTCATGCGTTTTGCTAAACTCTATAATACAGTGGTTTTAATCTCTGCCTTCACATTAGATTCTATTGGGGAACTTTTACTGAAGACTAATAGCTGGACTTGGCTCCAGAAATCCTGATTTAGCTAATGGAGGCAGAACCTGGGCTGGTTTTTTGGTTTTTTTGTTTTATTTTTTAGGGGTTTTTGCCTTAGAGTGAGTATGCTTGCTGGAGAGAGAGAGAGACAGAGACAATGAGAAGGAAAGTGAGAAATCACCCCCCAGAGGGATGGCCATGCTGCAATCCCTTGTCCCCAATTCTCTTCCTGGGATCCTGGGTACGCATGCACCATTTTCAAGCCACCAGGTCCTGGATTTGAACTGCGATCGATCTGTGGGAGTGCAGCAACATAATCGCCGAGCCATTTGCTATATCCTAGGCATTTTTCAGTGTAGTTTCCCCAATAGACAGCATCAGCATCCCCTGGGAATCTATGAAAAAGGCATATCCTCAGCCTTCTCCCAGCCTTCTCACTTCCTGTTCCAGAACTCCAGAGTCAGGTCCCTGAGAGCTCCTAGCTGCAAGCTTATGGTTGGGAAAGGCTTCTTTCGAAACCTGGGAAGGAATTCCCAGCTGTTTAAGTCCGTATTTTAATTATGTAGCAGTTTCACAATCTATAAATTTAATTGATAAAGGTAGCATTATTAAAGCTTAAACATGCATTTCATGGGCCAGCAGGTGGCATGATTAGGCACTGAACTCCCATGTGGTTGATCACAGCTCAAGTCCCAGACATGGTAACTTGAAATCCATGCTGGGCATGAGATTCATGTGTGTGCATGCCCAAAATCCCAAGAGGAGAATGGAGGAGAAGGGATTGCAGCGTGGCCATCCTCCCTGGGGGGTGATTTCTCACTTTCTGTCTCTCTCTGTCTCTCTGGCAAGTGCATGCACCCTACAGCAAAAATCTCTCAAAAAAAATGCATCCCATATTTCATCTCTTTTTGGACAGTTACTGAATGAAGTATTTATTAAAAAGTAGCAGGGCCCACTAACAAAAGCGAGCTTATGAAACTTACTGTTGAGCTGCATTGTCCTAGTATTTTGTAACACACACACACAAAGAATTATAAAACATAAAATTTAAAGGAAAAAATATTCCAGATAAAGAACCTAAAGTGTTTTTTGTGTCGTATTTCCATTCTAGATAATGTCATTATTATTCATATTATACTTGCTATTTTCTCATCTTTATTAATGCCACCCTTTTATAGCTTTATGACAGTGTAATTAGTATACAGTATTCTTTACAGGGGCGGGGGGGTCTGTAATCCCTGGGCAGGAGGGCTGCACAGCAGGGACTCGATGGCAGATGGGAGAGGAAGTCTCCTTCTGTATTTGCAGCCACTCCCCATCGCTTGCAGTGTCCCCTGAGCTCTGCTTCTTGTCAGATCAGCGGTGGTATTGGACTTCATGGGAGGTGAATCCTATTGCTGTGTGATTGCCTCGTTGTATATTGCAATATGGTAGTCATGGAAATGGGGTCCATTGTGGATATGGTGCACTTGACTCATCCCAGGGACAACTCCCCACAACTCCTCAACCCTGGGAGGGAGTCTCCCAATAGGCCTGTCACTAGTGCTGGGAAGGTTGGGGACCACAGCTCCATACATATTTAAAGCATTTAATTTGAAAAATGTTTATACATACATATGTTTATATGTATGTATATACTCATATCATAAGACAGTTGTATGGGACACCCAATTCTATTGCAGGTATCTCTTACTTACAGGTCTTCCTTCCTCCAACCCTGAATGCAGAGTATAGATGCAAAGAATGTTTCCAGAGTAAGGCAGCATGAGCTGAGATTTGAAAGATGATTGGCTGTTAGTTAAAGTGAATAAAAAGGGGAGGGATTTTACTGAATAGAAATAAAGCCCATCTCACCCATCTGAAGTCTAGAGTCTTGTGGTAGTTGTTAGCTATCATCACATAGGATTTTTTTTTTAAAGAGAGATTTTGCCATAGGGTGCATGCAACTCACCAGAGAGACAGAGACAGACAGAAAGCAAAGAAATCACCTCCCTGGGTAGATGGCCATATTCTTTACAGGGGCGGGGGGGTCTGTAATCCCTGGGCAGGAGGGCTGCACAGCAGGGACTCGATGGCAGATGGGAGAGGAAGTCTCCTTCTGTATTTGCAGCCACTCCCCATCGCTTGCAGTGTCCCCTGAGCTCTGCTTCTTGTCAGATCAGCGGTGGTATTGGACTTCATGGGAGGTGAATCCTATTGCTGTGTGATTGCCTCGTTGTATATTGCAATATGGTAGTCATGGAAATGGGGTCCATTGTGGATATGGTGCACTTGACTCATCCCAGGGACAACTCCCCACAACTCCTCAACCCTGGGAGGGAGTCTCCCAATAGGCCTGTCACTAGTGCTGGGAAGGTTGGGGACCACAGCTCCATACATATTTAAAGCATTTAATTTGAAAAATGTTTATACATACATATGTTTATATGTATGTATATACTCATATCATAAGACAGTTGTATGGGACACCCAATTCTATTGCAGGTATCTCTTACTTACAGGTCTTCCTTCCTCCAACCCTGAATGCAGAGTATAGATGCAAAGAATGTTTCCAGAGTAAGGCAGCATGAGCTGAGATTTGAAAGATGATTGGCTGTTAGTTAAAGTGAATAAAAAGGGGAGGGATTTTACTGAATAGAAATAAAGCCCATCTCACCCATCTGAAGTCTAGAGTCTTGTGGTAGTTGTTAGCTATCATCACATAGGATTTTTTTTTTAAAGAGAGATTTTGCCATAGGGTGCATGCAACTCACCAGAGAGACAGAGACAGACAGAAAGCAAAGAAATCACCTCCCTGGGTAGATGGCCATGCCACAATCCCTTCTCTTCCAGTTTCTTCTGGGGATTTTTGGCATTCACTTATACATTCCCAGTGTGATTTTAAGCCACTGGGTCCAGGACTTAACCATGGTCAACTACGGGGAATCCCATGACCCAGTGACATAACCATTACCGCCATCTGCTCGTCCCCATCACATAGAGTTTTTCAATGTTTATTCGACTCTTTGTTACTTTAGCATCCAATTGAGATGAATTTAAAGGGACTATTGAAATAAATAGTACTGCTACTAAAAGTAGCAATTTCTGTTTTAATCACTACAGTCATTTTCTTGTGTTAGGGTTACCCGTCTTGCTTGGACCAAATCCACTCTCATATGCCTATTTCTCTGCTGTGTCTATTCTACAGAACAGTATGTACACACATTTTATGTGTGTGTGCTATTTATGGGACTTTCTGTTGTTAAATTTGTGTTCTTTCCTCCATTGTAGGTTGGCTCCATGAGTTGGGAAAGAGACTGGAATCTCCATACAATGAAAACAATACCATGGGGGGCCCGTCCATCCGAAGTGCCTATATCGCTGCTCTCTACTTCACCCTGAGCAGCCTCACCAGCGTGGGGTTTGGGAATGTCTCTGCTAACACAGACGCAGAGAAGATTTTCTCCATCTGCACCATGCTGATTGGGGGTAAGAAAATTTATTTTATAGAAAAGAAAATATATGTCTACCAAACTGTCTTCATTCTGTTTGCTTTGTCCTAAAACACAATAGAGATAAATTGGCTTGCACTGGAAGTTTCTAAAAGCACTAATTAGAAAATCAGTGAAAAGCCTTTTAACATACATATAGATTAGCAATGCACGTCAGTGATGTTAATTAATTCCATTTTCTAGAAAGATGAATAAACAATCACTGCCCTGAGGGCTGATTTTGAAAGGGCAGACACTCTGTTTCCATAACATGCTATTTACCCCCTGTGTTTGAGAGTTACATGAGTCATTCTCAGGTATATGTTTGAGATTCCATTGTATAGTACCAAACAGGTCATTGTTATCAAGTTTTACCAATATCAATATAATAAATTAAACATATTTGACAGATCACTTGGTTAAAAGTAAAAAGTTAAAAAAAAAAAGAGAGAGAGAGAGAGAGAGCCCAGTAAAATGCTATTCAAGCAAGGCTGATCCATATGGAAGATCTTGACTTCATTCCCAAGGTGACCTGCACGTACCAACCAGTCAGCATGCCCATGATCCTGACTGGCTGAGCAGACTGGGTAGGGGGACAGAGAAGATCACCTTGTGAGACACTGTTGAGGTTGCTCTTCTCTGTCTCTCACTCTCACAAATTAAATTTTTTTTAAATAACAATAGAATAATAAGGTGTTAGTTTGGGATTCCCCCCCCCCCAGTTTTTCTATAGGGTGCATGTCCTAGCCAGTAAGAGACAGAGAGGGAAAGAAAGAAATCATCCCCCATGGAGGATGGCTTTGGCACAATCCCTTCTCCTCCATTCTTCTCTTGAGATTTTGGGCACAAATGCACTTGCGCCCAGCATGTTTTTCAAGCCACTGGATCCAGGACTCAAACTGCACAGTCGGCCACATGGGATCCCATAGTCTTAACCATCACACCATCTGCCTTGCCTGGTAGTTAACATTTATTAATTATTTTTATATATTCTGTTCTCTATACTAAATGTTCAAATACACTATCATAAGTAATTCTTAAAACAAATATATGGGCTTAAAACTATTATCATGCAACTTAAAAGACAAGTTATTATACTATTTTTGCCGACCTCCAAACCCCTCCTTTTTTTTGTAACTTTTTTGTCATAGTGTGCACTTTGCCAGAGAGAGACAAAGTGAGGTGGCCTGGCCATGCTGCAATCCCTACTCTTCCATTCTCTTGCTGGGATTTTGGGCACACACACAGCAAGATTCTGAAGTTGCCAGGTCCAGGACTCGAACTATGGGCAGCCATATGAGAGCCCAACACACCTTGACCACCACACTGTCTGTCGGTTCCAAAACTGCCTTCTTGCTTTGTAATCCTGGAGTTTGTACTTTGTAACCCTCCTTTTTAACCACTGACTTGTTATTTCTGCCAATAGAGGGCCCCAGAGGGATACTGGCGGGCAGGCAGGAAGAAGCAGCTGCCTGTTCTGGAGTGCACACTGTTCCTTCAGTGGAGACAGACTGGCACAGCAACAGCAGCTGCGTTTAGCTTTCAGTCCCTTTAAACGTTTCCAAAACCAGCCACATTGGGCCTCAAGATCTCTGCCTCAGCTGGAAGCGCCACCACATCCAGAGTTAGAACTGTGGCTCTTGGAGGCTCATCACGACGCTTCCTCTGGGCATCTGTGTTCAGAAAAGCTCTTCCTCCCCAGCAGCACCTTGTGCATTTATTGTGTCCTTGTCACTACTAGTTTCCATTTTTGCTCTTTCAGCCCTCCAGTACCAGGAAATCCAATACTCAATAATAAAGTCCTGCTGTTGAAATATTTAGTATAATTTCTCTTTTCTGACCCTCCTAATACAGGATTTATAATATTATTATCCACATTTTTCAGATGACTGATCTAAAGTTTGAAGAATTAAAGTAACTTTTCCAATGCCATATAGCTAGTAAGCAATGGTGTGAATCCAGATGAATACTTACACTCTCTTAAATACTTAGAAACCTTAATATAATTATAATTATACCGCCATGGAGTTACTGTAGGGGATGAAGTGAACATCCTTCTTAGACCAGAATTCTGTTAGTATTCTCTGCCCCACAAGATTCTCCCAAAAGCCTGTGTTAGCATGTTTTCTTTGTTTTTATTTATTTTTTTCTAATTGCTAGAGGGTGTATGCACTTGCCAGAAAGAGACAGAAAGACACAGACACAGAGAGATTGTGGATTATGCCACAATCCCTTCTCCTCATCTTGTTGGGATTTGGGGTTCACACAGACACACACACACACCCAGTATGATTAGAGAACTTATATTCGAATCAGGTGGCCATGGGGGAGCTGACTCCTCTAACCACTAGGTTTTAGGGCCGGCCCTTAGCATGTTTTCTTAAAGACCTTAATGCCAGATACCACTTACAGTTTGGAAACTAAGAATGGGCATGGCGCCTTCGGATGCCTTGTGTGGGAGATGTGGTATGAGTATGTGACACTTCAGACAATTAGCCTTATGGCACACAGTGAAATCAACGAAGTAGCAAATCAAACCTTGCCTCAAGGAGCTAGTGATCCAGGTAGGGAAGGAGACAGGGCAAAACTGTGTGAGTAAAGTTTTAACAATAACAGGCACTAACTGCTGAGAGCCAAGTCAGTTAGAAAGTTCAGAAGCAGTGAGAAACTAGGGCCAGGGATCGGGAGAGTTTCTTGGAATGGCAGTGTGGCAGAATTGCTGAAGTGGCATGCTGGGACAGCAGCAATTTTATTAGGCTCTGGGCTGATGTAGATCAGTAACAGCCTAGGGAGCGGAGAATGGGTTTTTTCATTTTCCGAAGAGCTGCAGTGTGCCAGGCCCTGGGGTGGCTGTTTCAAATCCCTGACTCTGACTTACATAATTTCCCTTCTCTTTCATGACCCTTCTTTCAGCATAACAAAATGACAAGCATTTTGCAAATAAACACAGTCTATATTAATATTTGCCCATGTTTATCCTACTCCTGATGGAAATTTTGGAAAAAATGTTTCAAGTGCTCTATGTTTAAGCTCACTAATTTCATGTTTAAAAAAATTCTGTTAAATAATCTATTTCATTCTCTGTTGATCCACCTACAATATTGTGAGTGATTCTGAGTCAGAAATGGTAAGCCGTAAACTATTCCCTAAGAGACACACTGATCATAAAGGGGGAAAAATGGTGATCACTTCACTTGTTTGTTAAATGTTTACTGAATAAATTTCTTGATGAGAATTCAGAGAGCATTTTTAACTAGCATTAACACACTGAGACAACTTGAACAGCACTGAGCAAACTATTCTTTTTGAATGCCAAATGGGATCTCAGTGACTTGAATTTATGAGGTAAAGCTTCCCAAATCTGTGTTTGTGGAAATAACTTTGTATTATTGTGAAAATTACCCTAGCCTAGGAGAAATGATGCTTGCATTTTAATATTTCCTAATTAACTAATTACTTGCATAACATTGTAGAAATAATCACAAGAGCTACAATATTAAGCACTTTGTTCAATTAATTCTCATAACACTGAGATAAAGATTAATACCCCAATAGAGATATAAGCAGGAAAGAGTTAGTGAGTTTAAATGCCAAAGCACACTAAAACCTGGCATCCTTCTTATGCATTATCTATTTTGTTATAGTCTATAAATTTATCTGCTTAAGTTCTATAAATATGTATAAGTAATTTATTTTTACTGCAAACTTTCTGGAAAACTTTACAGTATATATTTTCATGAGTTTAAATCTAAGATATCTTACAAGGAATCCCCCACAAGGCTAACGAACTTGCTAATGGCAGAAGTGCAGTATTTACTGCAAAAGCAGGCAGTGGTAATACTAAATGGAAAGGGAGTGTGAGAATCCCAGGTCATTTTCTAGGGCAGAGGTACATGGAGACTGGGCAAGAAGAAATAATGATCATTTGCTCAGTAGACTAACCTGGGGATACTCTGAGAACTCATCCAAATTTCCACAGGACTTGTGCGGGTTAGACTTCCATTTCACATACCATATGAGCTTCCACCTCAGCATCTGTAATCATAGAGTATTCATGAGAAGAATATTTAAAACTGTAAAACAAAGAAATTAAGCAAAAATCTTTTAAAAATGTATACCTAGATAAAACTACTTGTAGTCTGAGAACAGCCAAAACAAAAGAAGTCCTAACAACTACAGATGACTTTCTGAATTAATAAGGTTGAGGGATACCAGACCCTAGATCAATATACAAAAATTAATTTTATATCTGTATACAATTACAAAAAAAATCAAATATGTAGGGATAAGCCTCGTAAGATGTCTGCAATATTTGTACACAGAAAATTACAAAGTTTTAATGAGAAAATTTACAAACAATTGAACATAAGGAAGGATATGTCAATACAATGGTGATAGTCGATGATGATGGATTCAATATTTTAAAGGTACCAGTTTTACCCAGATTCAGCTAAAGACTCAACACTCCCAGTAAAAACTCTGGCAGAGCTCCAGACATGGCAGCACAAGCTGGAGGCTATAACTTCACAGGCTGAGACCATCTGGTAGACCTGGGTCAATTTCTTGCCCACCCTTAAAAGCCCTGTGTGGTGATGAGTGCTTTAAGTCTCAGATACTCAGGAGGCTGAAGAAGGAGGACCGCGATGTCCCAGCAAATGTATATTGTGTGTGTGTTTGAAAATGGACAAGTTGTGAAAATTAGTGGAAATAAAAAGCGCTACAACTAGTCTAAGCAATTATTTAAAATATTAGAGGCTATAGGAACAAGGAAAATGGTTAGCGATACGGGAAACATTGTGGGAAGAGGCTGGAGAAGGGGGAGAGGGTGAGGAAAGGAATCAAGGAGAAAATAGAGATGCAAGGCATTTAAGGGACACAGAAATGGAGGATTATGTGCTGATGATAACATGTGTAGTATCTTAATCTGGACTGGTGTGAAGCGTATTCATGTTGGGTAAATTTCACCTTATGAGCTACAGCAATGTATAGTGAGTGAATGTATAAAAGAAATAAAAATTGAAAAAAAAACTTTATTGGACAATGGAATTAAAGTACCAGTTTCTTTTGGCATATATATAAATATATTTGGTACAAAACTGGTACCAGTTTCTTTTGGCATATGTATGTGTGTGTGTGTGTGTGTGTGTGTGTGTGTGTATAGAGAGAGAGAGAGAGAGAATTTGCACTACAGAAATAGAGACGTGTTAGGAAATTACACTAATTTAAAAAATAAGGTGTTGGCTCAAGAACAGACCAATAGGCCAATGGAATAGAAGAGAGTTCAGAAACAGCCACATACGTATACGGTCATTTTACTTTTGGTATAGGTGAGCTGCATTGAATAAAAGCAATGAAAGTCATTTCAATAAACCTTGCTGTTTGAGATCTATATCCATGTGTTGAAAAACAACCTTGACTCCTCTAAGCTGTAGGCTAAAATTAATGCCTGGTGGACTTTTATTTAAATATAAAAAGGGGGGGGGGGGAACCTCCTAAAAGATAATCTAAAGTGTAGTAGTTAGTTACTGTAAAGGAGGCACAAGGGAGGCCCCCAGGATGCTGAAAATATTCTATTTATTCATCTTAGAGGCAGATGGTAATTTTATACCCATGTTCACTTTGAGAAATTCTCTCAATTAAGAGAATTACACAAATGCATCAGGTGTCTGTGTAATTCTCTCTATTAACCTTACCTTGTAAAACTACAAGATACGCTGAAAATAGTGTGGGGCAAGAAGCTGAGTAAGACTGAGCTAATTTCTTACCTTTCGTATCTATTGTTTTTAAGTTTGTCTTAATGATAAGTCAAGTAAGAAGAAAATTATATTGTTTAAAATGTGGTTGATAACAATATAAGATCTAGAATAAATCACTTAAAAATATTGCCATTTTAAAAAATCCATATTATACCCCTCAGAGATGTAAAACAATTAAACACAAATAAGAAATCACAAAAATTTTAAAAGAAATCTTAATGTTGCCTTTATGGAATCAGATGGTGGTGAAGAGATGGGGTTAAGGGGTTGAACAATTGATAAATTTTTAAATCCTTGCTTGCAATTATGTAACTTTTTAAAGAAATTACCAAGTTACCAGAGGTTCATTTCTGTTTCATAAATATTTATGACACACTTAAATAATGCCAAGAACTGTGCCAGATGCTGGGAAAACAAAGATGACTAAGACATGTTACTTTCCTTCAAGGAGTCCACAGTTTAGTAGTGGAAATAAGTGCTTAAATAGAGGATGTTCTTTCTTTTTTAATTTCGATTTTTCCTACTATAATATGCATTTGAAAAAGACTGGAAAATACACAAAAATAGTAATAATTCACAATCCTATCACCAAAAAATAGCTTTTTGGTCTTTTTATACATCTATTGGGTCACTGGAAAAGTCATGATGCACTTTTGCATAGAAAAATAAAGAAAAATGTGTCATGACTTTTCTGACTACCCAATATATACCTTATCTTCTGAAGTATTTATGTATGTCTATGTATATCCTTTTTCCATTAAACAAAACACATTGAGACACTTTTTTTACATCTTTAAGGTCTTCTGGCATACTTAGTAGACTTCTTTTAGTTAGTGACCTAAAGAGTCTGTCTCAGATGAGGAGGCGACCAACTCAACCTAGATGTTAGATGAAGGTCTTCAGTGTAGACGGCTCATCACGGATGGCACATCCAGTTTAAATGTACCATAACTGTCATGAAGCAGTCATAGCTTCCTCTGCATCCCCCCCGACACACACATGACACATGCTACTCTTAACATAATTTTATTAGAGTTATGTGAGCTATGACGTTTACAAGTTTAGCCTGTTCTAAAGATGTCTTCGTATTGCTATTTAAGCTCATCATGTAGGACAGCTTTCTCCCTCTCTTGTCCACTCTACCATCTGCCACCCTCAACCCAGTACACTTATAAGAAAGAATGAAAAATTCCAAGACCAGCAGATGTCATAATGGTTACATCGTTGGACTCCCACATAGTTGACCGCGGTTTGAGTCCCGAACCCAGTGGCTTAAAATTCACACCAGGTGCATGTGCATGCATACCCAAGATCCTGAGAAGAAAATGGAGGAGAAGCGATTGTGGCATGGCCATCCCACCAGGGGATGATTTCTCACTTTCTGTCTCTGCCACTGTCTCTCCAGTGAGCACACACACCCTATAGCAAAAATCTCTCTCTCTCTCTCTCTCTCTCTCTCTCTCTCTCTCTCCAGAGCAATGAGGAGGAAAACCTAGGCTCAAAACCTAGGCTCTGGTCTCCTTTACTATTAGAATGTACATAGAACCTGAAGCCACTGACAAATAGTTGCCTACAGAAATCAGCAATGATATTATACTCCAGGAGAGCAGTGTTGCCCCAAATCCAGGGGGAGGGAAGAAGAAACCAAAAAAGGCAAGAGAAAAAAGGAGAACACCAGGCAGTCCTATATAAGTGCTTGTTTCATTTGAAATCTGTTTACTTTCTTCTACAATCTCAACCCCTTAGTTTGCTACAGTTCTTCCAAAGACCTGATACAAGATGAGATTTTATAGAATGCATTTCATAACAAAACTCCTACACAAAGAAAAAGAGCCTCCCACATACTCAGTGGATCTAGCTCTCAAGAATTATATACATCAAATTTACCAGGAATAAAGAAAAAGTGAGTGATAATTTCCAAACTGACCTGGATATAAAAGTTTTTGAGTCAAACTTTCATAGCACATGGAATAATTTGTCCTGACAGTTACATGTACCCTTTGCTAAGGTAAAAATGATAACCAGTGACAGAAGAGCCTTAATAATCTTGGAGAATGAACAATTATAAAAGTCACGGTTTTATTTTTTTAACTACTTAAATTAGAGATCGTTTCCTATGCTGAAATGAGACTTTGAAATTATGGTGACTCAGCCGTAGACTAGCACTTTCCACTGTTATTAATGCTACAATTAATCTAGTAATTCATTTTATTGATAATGTACATTTAAGATGCTAAACGATCTGAACGTATTACTTCTCTTAACTTTAAGTGCATTGCACATTATAATTAAGCAAAGCAAAGTTAAAATCACACACATAATTAAGAAAAGTAGTGCTAAAATAAATGAAATAAAATTATTCTCTATGCTCAGTTTAATCTCCATGAAAAGCCTATTACATACTGTTAAAGATAGCAGGCTTTCCAAACACTTAGCCTGTAAGTATATTAACAGAGTTTGAAATTAGTGTTTAATTTCTTTACTTGGAGCAGAATCCATTGTTTTCTTTGGTGTTTATCATAAATAGAGATTTTCTTGTTCAAGTAAAATATTAAACATCAGAACTGTTGTGCTTCTAAAAACCATACAGAAGAATTCATGTTTTTCTGTGGAAATCTGCAAAGAACCTTGCAACATTAAGTTGTTAATCTAGTTGTGTTTTTCTTGGGATATTTTTAATCTATTGGGACACATGCTATTTTGAACGTTCAGGGATAATACATATTTACATATACTTCTGTATAGTAAGCACTTACAGAATAGCTCTTAATATTTTTTCAAGAAGTGATTTTTTAAAAAAGAGCCACAAAACCATTTAAGAGGCTGTAGCAAAACCTTAAATCTTGGTTCTTTTTTGTCAAATTCTACCCATGGGGCATGCTTAAAATTCATAACACTTCCCACTTCCATTGGAAAAATTAATGTAAATTGAACAACCACTGTTTTTCACAAGGCACTTTTTTTGAGGTTTTTGCATAGAAAAAAATGTCATGACTTTTCTAACAACCCAATAGATGATAGAGATGATAGATAGGTAGGTAGATAGATAGATAGATAGATAGATAGATAGATATGATAAATAGATATAGATAAATAGATATAAATAAATAGGATGGATAAATAGATAGATAGGTGATAGATATAGAGATATAGATAGATAATAGAGATATATAATAGATAGATGAGATATAGATATAGAGATAGAGATAGATGATAGAGATACAGATAGATGATATAAAGATCGTTATAGAGAGATGATAGCTAAATATAGATAGATGATAGATTGACAATGATGATAGATAGATTGTAGATAGATAGGATAAATAGATGATAGATTGATACAGATAGATGATAGAGATAGATAAAGATGGATATATATAGATGACAGATAGATAAATAAATATAGATGATGATGATGATAAATAGATTGTAGATAGGATAGACGATAGATAGATGATAGATAGATAGATAGATAGATAGATAGATAGATAGATAGATAGATATAGATAGATGTAAATAGCATTCAAAATAAGTTTGTTCTAGCCAGAAGGGCAGTTAATAGGTTGAGTGTGGGTGAAAGGAGCCTATTTAGCATTATTGAATATTTTTAAGATATTTTTATCTGGTTAAGCCATGTAGGATCAAAATGACTGGCTCAGGATGCACTCTGTGACAGTGTCTGCACCAAAATGTCAACACCAAAGCAGCTGTATCAGCATGTCCAAGAGGGCTACTCAGGACATAGGCATGCTGTCCTGATCCAAGATGTGTCTAGACTGTAGACTGAGACAATGGGTGGCTCCGTCCTCATGTTTCTCACCCATCACATGTTGCTCTCCAGCCTTGATGCACGCCTTGGTGTTTGGGAACGTGACGGCAATCATTCAGAGGATGTACTCTAGATGGTCCCTTTATCACACCAGAACTAAAGACCTGAAGGACTTCATTCGTGTTCATCACCTGCCTCAGCAGCTCAAGCAGAGGATGCTTGAATATTTTCAAACAACCTGGTCGGTCAACAATGGAATCGATTCAAATGAAGTAATGTTCATTTTCCATGTTAACATTTTCAGGCAGAAAGCATAGAGTCTGAGGTAGAAACAAGGTGTTCTAATGCAGGTATCAGAAGTGAAGAATGTGCTTACCAATGTGTTTATCTCTTTATTTTTTTAATCCCTCTTAAAACCCAACCCATTTTTTTTCAAGTGCTTTGGCTTATGTTTTCACAATGCTACCATGGGTTAACCAATGTTTTATATTAACTTGCTACTTTGGCTATCAGGAGGACTTATTTTCCTTCTTATTATTTTTTAATGTAATCAATTCTTATGACAATATAATTGCATAATCTTGGATCATTATATTAATTAAGTTTGTGAATATTTGTTTTAAAAATGAATAAGATTTTGGGGACCGGACAGCATAATGGTTACATTGCTGGACTCCCACGTAGCCAACACTTGTTCAAGTCCCAGACCGGGCAGCTTTAAATTCATGCCGGGTGTGTGTGTGTACGTGCCCAAAGAATCCCAAGTGGGTCCCTATTCCATATTTTCTCTCCTGAGTAAGAGTCTTATGGGAAACAAGTCACAGTGAGTTACATGTTTTCATTCTAGAGACATTCATTAATTTGGTCTATGTCTCCAGACTATCAGCTGATTATTCAGTAATACAATTGAGGTCATAGTCACTGAATATTTTTTTTAAAAGACTCTTTATTATACACACAGAGATTTCCTTTTCTGTACTCTAGGTAGCCAAGCAGCAGGAAGAGCCAAAGAAATCACTTAGACTGTACTTACTCCAATTCAATTTCCTTCTTCAATTTTCTCTGACAGCTTTTGAAAGACTTTCCCGATGAGCTGCGTTCTGACATCACTATGCACTTGAACAAGGAGATCCTGCAGTTGTCCCTCTTCGAGTGTGCCAGCCGAGGCTGCCTCAGGTCTCTGTCTCTACATATCAAAACCTCTTTCTGTGCTCCGGGGGAATATCTTCTGCGTCAAGGGGATGCTTTGCAGGCCATCTACTTTGTATGCTCAGGCTCCATGGAAGTTCTTAAAGACAGCATGGTGCTGGCTATTCTTGGTAGGTCTGAGCTGAAAGGCTTCTATGAAATTTTACTCTAGATTCTAAATTAAGGAAATGAAATGGGGAAAAAAACTTGCAAGAGAGAGTAGAAAAACTACCCCTGAATATGTGAAGCCAGGATTATTCTTCACATGAGTTTAATTTGCCTACATGTTCTATCAATCCAACACATCATTTGATACTCAAAAAAGAAATCCAGCATAAATATTATTCTCCTTTTACAAGTGAGAGATAGCACCTTAGTTAACCTACCTAAAGCACATAGCAAAAAAAATAAAGAAATAAAGAACCCAATTCTTTCTGAATCCTAAAGTCATGATGTATATTACTTCCTGGTAGAATATCTAATCAGTTTGAAGAAGGAATGTCTATATTTTCGTGGAAAATCAATACACAGAACACAAAAATTTCATTTTTTTCTGTGCTAGACATAGAGAAAACAATGATCATGCTTCAGGAGTTCGCTTTTGTAGCAGTCATTAACCCAATACTGTGAAAGGGGCTACAGGCACTTTTTCCTTACTGCAGGAAAATTCAAAAGACAATTTGTGAAAATTTTGTGCCACAAAGGTGACTTCAACTATTAAGGCCTAATTGGTCTCCATTTAAATATAAAGGGAAGGACAAAAGATAGCATGGAGGTTTAAAGTATAAAAATTTCTATCCAATTTTACGCAGTCTCTTTTTAAGGCCTCATTTGTTTATTCCTTCAAGTAATGTACTTATCAAGGACCTATGAATGAATCAGATACTGAAATAAACATTGAGAATGTGGCAGAAGAGAAAAATGACATAATCTTTGTCCTCATGAGAATCAAATTCAAGTGAAATATATGATGGGGGTCTTAGGCCAAGGTGGTAGGAGGGATGGTGAGAGGCGGCTAAATTTAGGATATATTTTGAACGCCAATAAAATATAACAAAGTTTAAAATGTGTGGTAATAAAAAGGGGCTAATTCAATACTTTCTCTTATTTTGAGTTTTTGAGAATCTAATAGTTATAAAATAACAACCACTTGAAAGCACTTGCACAATTATATCTTCACAATACCAAAAAAGATCATGGAGTTAATGTCTTTGTTTTCTAAAGTCAAAACTAATCTAGTCTTTGGACTCTGTCCAGTTCTCCTTCCACATATAAATAATACTTATTATTCTATATAATCATTTTAGACCTGTTATCAGTAGGTTTTAGCTAGTGGGCTTCAAAACAGATTGTTTTGGAAGGCAGACAATAACTTACTGAATCTCTAATATAAGCTGGGTATCTTATTTCTACTATATCACTAAACCTTGTAACCTTATTAAGTTAGTGTGTGTTACTAACTGAATGGTTGTCTCCCCAAAATTCGTATGTTGAAAATCTAATCACCACTGTGATGGTATTAGTAGGTGAGACCTGTTGGAGGTGATAAGGTTTAGAGGGCAGAACCCTCATGAATGTAATTAATATCCTTATAAAAGATACCCCAGAGAGCTACCTTGCTCTTTCTCCCATGTGAGGATACAATATGAAGTCTCCATATATGAATCAGAAAGTGAGCTTTCACCAGACACTAAATCTGCCGAAGCGTTGGTCTTGAACTTCTCAGCCTCCATAACTATGAGAAAGAAATTTACACCATTTAAGAGCTACCCAGTTGTAATATTTTGTTATAGCAGTCCAAACTGTGAGAAACCAGTGAATGGTTTAAAAAAAAAAAAGTGTACTTTTCATTGCTTCAGGTTGTCTTCAGTTTACCACTCAGAAAAAGTAGGCTTGCTCTTTGAAAGATTGTTTGTTTGCTTATCTATCCATTTTTTTATTTGCTTATGACAGAGAGACAGAGAGACAGAGAGGAAGAGAGGAGAGGTATTTTTGACAGGGTGTCACTGTTGTGCTCTTCCTGCCCCAGCGTCCCAGTTAGCTAGGATTACAAGCAAACACCAGTGCCCCTGTCCTGTTCAGGTTGGTCCAGAATATGAACCTGGGCTTCCCATGTAGTCTCAGCCTCATGCAGCAGCACCCTACCACCTGGGCCACTGTGGATGGGTTGCTTTTTTATCATTTGGCTCCATTCTTGCCTCATTCTCTTCTATTTTTCTCCTTAATAGAAAGGCATAGAGTAAAAACTAAGAGTTTATCAGCTTGGCTAGTTCATGATTATAAGTATTTCCTTCTTTTTTTTTAATAAAATAAATAAATAATATATTTGGGGTTTTTTAAATGTATTTATTTTTTATCTTTTATTGTCAGAGGGCACACGCTATCACCAGAGGGAGAAAAAGATATTAAGAGAGAGGAGCACCCACCAGTGGGGTGTGATCACATTGCAATCCTTTTCCCTCTATTTCTCCATCCTTACTTTGGGCACATGCGAGCATACACACATGCACGCGCGCGTGCATGCCCAGCATGTTTCTCAAGCTACTGGGAGTGGGATTCCAACTGCAGTCAGCCATGTGAGATTCAACTTTTGATGCACTAAGAGACTGACCCTGTTTTTTTTATTTGTTTGTTTGTTTTTAGTTTTTTGGTTTTTTCTTTAAGAGAGATTTTTGCTATAGGATGCATGTATTCTTCTGAGAGACAGAGAGACAGAAAATGAGAAATCACCCCCCAGGGAGGATGGCTATACTGCAATCCCTTCTCCTCTATTCTCCTCTCAGGATTTGGGGCACACACGCACACACACCCAGCATGAGTTTCAAGCCACCAGGTCCAGTACTCAAACCGCAGTTGATCATACGGGAGTCTGGCATCTTAACCACTGAACCACCTCCTGGCCTCCCAGGGTCTTGTTGTTTAAGGATCTCTCTATTTCACAGTCTTCCCATCTCAGCCTTCCAGCTGGGACTACAGATGCAAGCCACCATGTCCAGTCCACTTTTAAACAGGTCTCATTTTGCTGCCCAGGTCAGTCTGAGCTTGCAATCCTCCTGCCTCAGCTTCTCTGAGTAGGTGAGTTACAGGTACCAACACTGAGCTAGTCCTTAGGTTGAACCAGGAATCGAATCTGGGCCTCTCTTGTAACCTGAGTCTGTGGAGAACATCATCTTAGCAGCAGGTGTCACTGTAGTTGGAGCACATGTCAGGGACTTTGCTGTCACAGATGCTTGGCACAGTGAAAAATAAAAACTTTAAGTTGAAAAATTATTGAATGGATGGTAAGGATGGTTCTAATAACATTCCAAAGATATGGTTTGCTTAGTGTTTGTTATTATTGTTCAATTGTTGGTTACTGCTTCCTTATGAAATGAAGCACAGTGGTCAATTACAAAATAAAATGTAAAGGCCAGGAATGATGGTATTTGTGGACAAGCAAATATTCAGAAACTCCCAATTTGTAGCCACAAATCTAATTTAGTGCCCTCAGGAAACGATACCATGTTATTTCTGCTTTTATCTTGTCTTAGAAGAAAATAGATTTTCTTTTATATTTTTCACATGGCTGCTGGGTGAATTAATGGTCATGTCTAAAATATATCTGAAGTTAAAATCTGTTTTTTGGTAGAATTTATACAAGTAGACTTCAAAAAGTTTATGGAAAATGTAATTATTGTATGAATTTATTCTGGTGCAAAAAATTTTTTGGAAATGAATACATAGTTTTTCAAAATATACATCTTCCATGAACATTTTGAGGAATCCTTCGTAGTTATGTTATGCTTACCTTCCTATTAATATAAACTGATAAGTATTTTAATGATTCTGATAAATGGTCCAATATTAGCTAATGGACAAACTGAAGGAAGGAAGCTATGTCCTAGACGGATGAATTTCAGCCTAGTAGGCAGAGATACTGACAAACAAAAATATCAAGGTGTGGGGGCCAGCAGGTGGAGTGGTGGTTAAGGCACTGGACTCCCACTTGGCTGACTATAGTTTGAGTCCCATACCTGGCAACTTCAAAAATCACATTGGGCATGCATTCCCAAAATCCCAGAAGGAAAATGGAGGAGCAGTGATTGTGGCATAGCCATCTCCCCTAGGGGAGGTGATTTCTCACTCTCCCTCTCACTCTTTCTCTGTGTCTCTACAGTAAGTGTATGTGCCTATGGGAAAACCTAAAAAAAAAAATTTTTTTTAAGTGTGTTGAGTGTGGCGTGGAGCATAAACAACTTCAGTAAATTAGTGTTAGACCTCTCTGTGGCAGTGTAAGTAAAGAGCTCATAGTTTTTATTTACATTTTCACGTTTTATGGCAAAAATGGGGTTTTTACACTGTCACCAAGAGTTATAACTGGGAGTAACACTATGTATTTTATGCAGTAGATTCACTGCCCTTACTGTCCAGTAGTTGTTGGAGAGATAGAAACTTCCTCTTCTCGCATTACCCTTTCATCTCACAGACATTATCAAAAATAAATAAAAGAGCCTGAGGGTGTTAGAAAGCTGAGGCCCACTTTTACATCATTGTCCAAAGTCTTAGAATAAAAACAATTAATACGTGTGTTAAAGGTATTACCTCAGAAGTACAGAGTTGTTTTTCTACTCAGAAAATTCCATGCTGTTTTTATTTCTCTTGAATGTTAAAACAACTGTGTCAAAAATGTCAACTGATTTGTCCAAAGCCATTTACCAAACCCCGGGTGAAACCTGCCTGGAGCCCATCTATGATCTGCCATTCCTAACTCTGCATCATGTAGCCCTTATCTACTGTTCTCAACCAGGGATAGTTTTTCCCACCAAGAGATATTTGGCAAAGTCTGAAGATATTTTGGGTTCCACAGCTGGGGGCGGAGGATGTGAGATGTAGCTAAGTATTCACTATCCACAGAAAAAGCCCCCACAGCACAGACTTGTCAGGCTCCAAATCTCAGTACTGTCCAAGCTGAAAAACTCTGCCCCAGATAAAGATTCTTCTTTTCACTGTAATCTCAGAGAAATAAAACCTTTACATCAAATTAAGTTTCCAGTCCTAAACTTACTTTTCTTTAAAATGTGTCTCTTTTTTTAACTCTTTCTAGGGAAAGGAGATTTAATTGGAGCAAATCTATCAATTAAGGACCAAGTAATCAAAACCAATGCAGACGTGAAGGCTCTAACCTACTGTGATCTCCAGTGTATCATCCTTAAAGGACTTTTTGAAGTACTAGACCTTTACCCAGAATATGCTCACAAGTTTGTGGAAGACATTCAGCATGACCTCACATACAACCTTCGAGAAGGCCATGAGAGTGATGTAAGTCTTATTTCTAATTATTAGAGACCTCATAACATAGCACCTGGAGATCATTTATAATAGTAAAGGTGGATGACACAACCTCACTTAAAAAGTCTATGCATATATAAGGTATGATTATTCAGCCACTAGTTGAACAAACTGAATAATTATCTAGAAGACAAAATTGGAGTGTATTATCAACATTCTAGAAAACTATTATTTTGGATAACTCTCTTAACTTTTTTTGTTTATTTTCATGTGGTTACAAGTAGAATCAATTTTAATGATATATAACATTTATTCAATAGCTGGAGACGTGTACTTTAGAACTTAAACATTTCCAGATAAAATACACGGTTGAGATTTCTGTGTTTGTATTGCTCATTATTCCAACTGCTTGACATGAATTTTGCTTAAAAAATTTTTTGTTAAACAGTATTCAAAACAGTCTACGTTATAACGACTAAATATGCATAAAAGGATTCAAGCCAAGGATTATCACACTGAAAGCATAATGAACATTTTATGCAATTATATATTACTGCATGTTTCCATTTATACAAACAGTTTTCTTGTCAAAATATGTACTATACTGCATCCTGTGATTAAGCTGATCATGAACATGACTTCATTAAATGTGTCAGAGAGACAAAGGATTCAATAGGAATGATTGTTGAAAGGCAAGCCAGGACATGCATAATGCTGAGTACCAACCAGAGATTTAATCTACTATCTTGAGCTTTGTCCCATATATCTGCAACACTCAAAAAGTTTTATAGGGATTTAAGAGGCTATGGTTTTGAATAATCCAAAATGGCAGGTATTTCTATTGGTAATTAATATTCTCTACTTTGAAAGGTAGAAAGAAAATTCAAATTCTGTATTACTTCATCCTGATTGGGAATATCAAATGTCAGTGATACATAGATGATATCCCATTCCTAAGTCCATGATTACTATAGTTTTGCATACGTGCTTCTCTATAATGAAAGCAAACAACAGCGTAAGGACCAACATTTACTAATGACATATTAAATGTCAACCACTCTACATACATAAAACATTTCATGTATTGCATTAAGCAAATCTTTAACGTAATTGTCAATCTGTTTCCATCAAACAGAACAATGAGGTTGAGAATGGCTAAGTTATGTGTCTATAATCACAAAAACTTGTAAGTAGCTAAGACAGAGTTTGAGCATAGGATAAGATTTTAAAATCTGTACTATTTTTATTAAACCTGTTGCCTCTTCTTCTTGAAATCACTTTCATGTCTTTCACTCACTAGACTGAGTTTTAAAACTACAGGTGTCTTTTGTGCTGTCTATGACCGCATAAAATGACAACTATTTTTGAAGATTGAAGATGCGTTGGGGGTGGTATCAATCAAAATGAGAAGAAGAAATAAAGAAAGAGGAAAATAGCCAGTACTTCTTAGCATAGAAAAGTGGAAAATATTGAATCTCAACCTCTAAATTTCTTCCATATGACTCTTATATTTTAAGGATGCTTATCTTTTTATTTTTTAATTTGTGGTGCAGAGCATAATGCTTTCAAATGTGTAAACGTGGACTGGCTAAATCAAGCTAATTAACATAGACATCAAATCTCCACAAATACTTATTACTTATTTATGATGAGGGCACTTTAAATCTACTCTCTCAGGAATTTTCCAAGTGTATAATATTATTAACTGCAGTCATCATGTTGTAAAATAGATTTTTAAAAATTATTTCTCCTAATTGAAATTTTGTGTCCTTGGACCAACATTTCCCCAATACCTCCCCACCCCTTGGTAACTACCTTTCTAGTCTCTGCTTCTATGAGTTCAACTTTTTTAGATTCTACATATAAGTGAGATCATGAAGTATTTGATTTTTTTATGCCCAGCTATTTCAGTAAGCATAATGTTCCTGCAATTTCATCTGTGTTGTTGCAAATAACAGAATTTCATTCTTTCGATAGCAGAATAGTATTCCCCTATGTATACCACATTTTCTTTATTCAAACATCTGTTGGACATCTATGTTGATTCCATATCTTAGCTATTATGAATAATGCTGTAGTGAACATAGGAGTCCAATATCTCTTCTAAATATTGATTTCAACCCTTTGGATATATACCCAGTAGCAGATTTGTCATATCATATAGTTGTTTTATTTATAATTTTTTGAATCACCTCCATATTGTTTTAAATAATGGTTATACTAATTTACATACCAACCAATAGAGAACATGGTTTCCCTTTTCTTTGTACCCTTATCAACATTTGCTTTCTTCTTTTTTTTGATAAATCATACTAGCAGGTATGAGGTGATACCTCATTTTGGTTTCAATTAGTATTTTTCTGATAATTAGTGAAAATGAGCACTGTTTCATGTACTTGTTAGTATTTTGTATATCTTCTTCTGAGAAATGTCTGATAGTATCCTTTACCTACTTTTTTATCAGGTTATTTTCTTTTCACTGAGTTGTTTGAGTTTCTTATGCATTTTGGATAATAATACAATAGACTACAAAGGGTAATACTACCCTTTGTAGTAGTACTACCCTTTGTAGTCTACTGTATTCTACCTCACAATTAAGTAACAAATGCCCTTAGAATAATTACCCGTTAAGGGCAGTACTCACATTGATGTGCCTCTCTTTTTTCAGGAACTATGGCCCTTCAATTCTTACTAAAAGTGACTGCTGTCAAATGCCTTCAAGCAGTCAGTCATCTTATGTATTTTGCGCCTTTGCATTGGTTCTTCTTGCAATGCTCCTCCTCTGGGAATATCTGGCCCCCTCCTAGAGAGTTTGTCCCCTCTCAGTTGTCCTATGTCATATCACCTTATCTTCCTCATATTCCTTAGCAGCATCTGGAGTTCTTTTACTTTTTTTGGTGGGAGAGAGGCTTTGCTATAGGGCATGTGTGCTCACCAGAAAGACAGAAAGTGAGAAATCACCCCCCCAGGGGGGATGGCCATGCTGCAATCCCTTCTCCTCCATTCTCGTCTCAGGATCTTGGGCATGCATGCACATGCACCCGGCATGAGTTTAAGCCACTGGGTCCGGGATCAAACCATGGTTGACTACATGGGAGTCCAGCAACATAGCCATTACGCCAACTGCTGGTCCCCGGGTTATTTTAGTTTTATATAGTTTTATATTTTCTTGCTCATGGTCAGCTTCTCCTATCAGAAGGCCTACTTTATGAAGGTTTTTGACTTGTTCTATACTACCTCCCCAGTCTTTGGTCAGAACTTAGTGCAGAGTCAAATTTAATATATATTCAATAAGTGAATGAATAAATGTCAAAATGTCTACTTTGGGACTTGAAACCTATGTAAATTTGGGGGAAAATGAGGACCTGAAGACACCAGTCTATAAGGCCAGTAGGTAGAGTTTTAAATGCAAGTTAAAGGAACATGGAAGTATATGCCTTACAAGTAATGAAACCAAAAATTTTTCAATAGTAGGATTTGGAAGAACAAGTCAAAAGGACATGAAATTTGAATAATAGCTATTTTTAACTTCTCCTAAGTTCAGGACAAGAGCTATGGGAATTTAAGATGAAAAGGGGAAGAAGGAGTTTACAATGTGGTTAATATAATTTCTCCAGGTGGTTTGGCAGAGTATGTAATGTTATGGTGAAAGAATATCTGCCTTCAAACTTAAGCAATCAGTCCATTTTTCTGTGGACATAGATGAACTATTACAAACTAATATCCTCAGAAATTAGAGAAGTCACACAATTAGGCATTCATTCTGTTTTTATTTATCTCACTTTTATTTCCTTGGGCATGAGGCCATAGATTTCAGGGTTAATGTGAATTTGCATGTGGAAGACTCTAAGGTCTAGTAAACCACCCTATTTATGATTATAAGCTATGTTATTAAAATAATAATAGAATGCATAGATCTACTGTATAAAGTGGTAAGCTGTGAGCTGTAGGGTCTATAATACACATGATGAAATCTGATCAAGTTTTCCCTTATGTTCCCTAATCAACATTGGCCTAGTGGTATCTGAATGTGAATGTATATTTCTTTTTATATCTGGACCCCTTGTAGTTAAAAATTCAGTAGCTAGTGGCCTGAATTTTTTTTCTTAAGTTCATTAATTTATTTCTTCCATGAGAGAGGGAGACAGAGAGAGAGAAGCATCCCAACAAGGTTTTCATGAAACCATTTACCCAATGTCAGCTGGCCTTGATCATGGGCCTACACATGCCTAGTGTGCTCAGTTCCCTTGTGGTTCCAGTTGCACTACTGCTGTACCACCTTGTGGCACACAAAACTGAACCATTTTTTTAGAAAGATTTTTGCTATAGGTTATTTGCACTCACGAGGGAGACACAGAGCCAGAAATCACCCCTCAGGGGCAATGGGCACACCACAATCTCTTCTAATCTATTATTCTCTCAGGATCTTGGGCATGCACACACGTGTGTCCAGCCAGAGTTTTTTTTTTTTTTAAAGAATTCTTTTTTATTTAACTTTATTTATTTATTTATTTTATTCGACTGGAGAGGAACATAGTGAGCGAGAGAGAGAGAGAGAGAGACAGAGAGAGAGAAAGCAAGCCGCCAGTCCAGGACTTGAACCATGGTCGGCCATGTGGGAGTCCAGCACCCTTAACCACTACACCAACTGCTGGCCACGCCCAGCCAGAGTTTTAAGCCACCAGGTCCAGGATTTGAACCATGGTCAACTATGTGGAAGTCCAACGACGTTAACTGTTATAGCCACCAGGTCCAGGATTTGAACCATGGTCAACTATGTGGAAGTCCAATGACGTTAACTGTTACACCATATGCTGGTCCTGCAAAGCTGAATCTTTACCTCTAATTTTATGTTTTCAGAAGGCAGTCGCTTATCTTAAATGCAAAGAGCAGTAGAAGCAGCAGCTAGTTCCCATGAACTATTGAGCTGTGTTGACTTGGGCTTCTTGGTATAGATTTTTAAAAATTATTTCTCCTAATTGAAATTTTGTGTCCTTGGACCAACATTTCCCCAATACCTCCCCACCCCT